GGCATCGGCATGAACACCGACCACACCCTGGAGGAGGTCGGCCAGCAGTTCTCCGTCACCCGCGAGCGCATCCGCCAGATCGAGGCCAAGGCGCTGCGCAAGCTCAAGCACCCCTCGCGCAGCCGCAAACTGCGCAGCTTCCTCGACACCTGAGGCGGCGCCCGACCCGGCGCAGGCGGCGCGATCCGCGCGCGCCGGCGCTGGCGGCCGGTCGCCATGCCCCTCTCGCGGCCTTGACCGACCGGCTGGCGCCCGTATCTTCGCCTTGCCCTGCCGGCCCGGAGCGGCGCCGCCGATCCGACACGGCCGAACAGCCGCGAGGGCCCGTAGTTCAGCTGGTTAGAACGCGCCGCTCATAACGGTGTTGTCGCAGGTTCGAGTCCTGCCGGGCCCACCATTCTCGGACACTCGCGGATCGCCGTCAGCCGTCGCCGGCGCGGCCGGCTTTGCCCTTCGCGGCCGCATCGCCCCTCTCCTCCCCGACCACACGCGCGGCCGGCAGGATCACGCGGGCCAGGGTGCCGCCCCGCGGCCGATGGGCGAACTCCAGCCCGCCGCCGTGCAGCTTGACGATGGAATTGACCAGGTAGAGGCCGAGGCCGAGCCCCTCGTGATTGCGCGCCAGGCCCGCCTCGCCCTGGACGAAGGGCTGGATCGGCGCCTGCACCAGCGCCAGGTCGATGCCGGGCCCCTCGTCGGCGACGCTGAGCACGACGGCGCCGTCCGCCCGGCGTGTCGCGGCGATCTCGATGCGGCTGCCGCGCGGGCTGAACTTCAGGGCGTTGCCGACCAGGTTGAACAGAACCTGGCGCAGCATCTGCTTGTCGCCGCGCAGGGTGAGCCGTGGGCCCTCGGCGAGCACGAGCGACGAGCCCCAGCGCCGCGCCTCCGCCTCCAACAGCCCGGCGGCGCCGGCCAGCAGCTCGGCCAGCGCCATCTCCTCCTCGGCCAGCTCCATCCGACCGCCCTCCAGGCGCGCGGCGTTGAGCACCGTGTTGATGACGCCGGTCAGATGCTCGCCCGCCTCCAGAATGTGGGCGGCGTACTGGTGATAGCGCGCGTCGAGCGGTCCGAGTAGCTGATCGACCAGCATCTTCGAGAAACCGTTGATGGCGTTGAGCGGCGTGCGCAGCTCGTGGCCCATGGTAGTGAGGAACTGCGACTTGGCCGCGCTCGCCGCCAGGGCCTCGTTGCGGGCCTGCAGCAGGCGCTGCTGGGTCAGCTTGTGGCGGGTGATGTCCTGAACGATGCCCTCGACGAAAACCGCCCGCCCGGCCTCGTCGCGCTCCACCTCGCCCCGCTCCATCACCGTGCGCACGGCCCCGTCGGGGCGCAGGATGCGATGCTCGATCACATAGGGCCGGCGCCCCTCGAGCGCGGCCTGGAAGCGCTGCAGCACCAGATCGCGATCGTCGGGATGCACCCGCGCCAGGAAGGCGTCCAGCGTGCCGTCGAAGTCGCCTTCGGCGATGTCGAAGATGCGGAAGACCTCGCTCGACCAGACCAGCCGGCGGCTCGCCAGGTCCAGGTCCCAGTACCCGATACCGGCGATCCGCTGGGCGCTGCGCAGGCGCCGCTCGTTCTTCTCCAGCGCTTGGCGCGCCGCGGTCTCCGCGGTCAGGTCGCGCACGATCGCGGCGTAGCCCCAGGGGCTCGGCCGCTGCGCGCGGATGATCGTCACCGCGGCCGGAAACTCCCGGCCGCTGCGGTGCAGGCCGACGACGCGGGCCCGTTCGCCCATCTGACGCGAGACGCAGCCACTTTCGAGAAAGCCGCCGACCGCCGCGCGGTGCCGCGCCCGCAGGCGGGCCGGCAGCAGCGTCTCCAACGGGCGCCCGCGTATCTCCTCCGCCGCCCAGCCGAAGATCTTCTCGGCTCCGGCATTGAAGGCGGCGATGCGGTTGTCGGGGCCGACGAGCACGATGGCGTCGACCGAAAGCGCCAGGAGCTGACCGGCCGCGCCGTCGAACGCCGACCAGTCCCCCGCGGGCGCGGCCGGGTCTCCAGGCGCCTCGGTCGCCGCCCCGATTTCCTGCGACTCCGGCGTGGCGCTGGCGAAGGTATCGGCAAAACTCATGGAAGGGCGCTGTCCTCCGGCGTCAGGGTCGCGGGCATCGTCCGACAGGGAAGCGTCAGGCCGCTTTCACCTCGGTAAAGAACCGCCCGATCTCTCCGCCCAACTCGTCGGCGTGCCGCTGCAGGTCGCTGGCGGCCTGGTGGACGGTCTTCGCCGCCACCCCGGTCTCCCCGGCCGCCGTGGTGACCTCGCCCGAGCCGCGGCGCACCTCGGCGGTGCCGCCGGCGGCCTCTTGGACATTGCGGGCGATCTCGGCGGTCGCCGCCTGCTGCTGCGCGATGGCCGCGGCGATCGAGCCGGTTGCCGCGTTCAGCTCCGCGATGGTCTCGCCGATGCCGCCGATCGCGGCCACCGCCCCCTTGGAGACAGTCTGGATCTCGCCGATCCGCCGCGCTATCTCCTCGGTCGCCTTGGCCGTCTGGGTCGCCAGGCTCTTCACCTCCGAGGCCACCACCGCGAAGCCCTTGCCGGCCTC